TAAAGGTTGAAATTGAATAAAAAACTGATCTAATGGTTAACATGCACTTGATTGTAGTGATTGCACCAATTTTTTCACGGCAGTGGATCACAATCTCACTTAAATTGGGAGGAGCAATCACCTAAAAGTTTAAGAATTTTTTTTCCACCCTTATGGTATGACTCACACCTTTGGAAATTCAAAATTACTCTTAGGTATTTTCGGAGATGCATCTCCGGACGCACCTGAAATCACGTCATCTTCATAAATCAAGCAACCACCCATTTTTGCCAAAAGATAGTTTGGAGATGCATATGTGAATATTTATAAGGTGAATTCAGACATGCATCTCCGAAAACTTAACTGGGTGCATCTTGGGCAAAAACATTGTCCTAAGTTTGTATTTTTTGTAATTTGAATTCATTTTAATTTGACTAAAAGTGGCATAATTTGATTCAAACATTAATAAACACAAACACTGTAGAACAAGGTAATGCATTAATTAAAAAATAATTGCCCATAATATTACAAATATTGTTCCCAAAGTATTGAAAATAATACTAACACATTCGAAAATACAAATAAAAGCATAACCTACTGTGTATGACTAATACTAAACCCCTGGATCTTCCTTTGCCGCCGGTAACTCAAGGCATTTCGTGCCTGAGTAAGAATGGAACGTGTTAGGGAAACTGCATCAACACCACCTCTCTCAAACAACCCAAACTTTATGCCTTCATATGTAACCCGCATAATATTTATATAGATCGACAACACATCAATGACACAGTCATTCCTGACTTGCTCATTCTCTAAGATCTCCTCATGAGCAGGCCTAAGTGGACGTCTAGAAGCGGGTGATGTCATGACAGGGTGTGACGCATTATATTACCAAGTCATGTAACCACCCACATAATACCACTGGCTTGTGACTGACATACTCTGATACTCCTCTAGTACCAGATGTCTCTCGTAATCAGCTAGTATGTCATCAAGATGTTTGTAAACGATGCCATTAGGATCAGACTCAAATGGGGATCTCAAAATGATCTGCACATGTCCAAACTGAAGTATGCATCACTCCGACAAATACATGCACACCAGAATCAACCCACATGTCAGTCATCCATAGTAAAATGAAATGGGGTCGAAGACCATAATATTTTGGTGAGTGGTGTATAATGTCCAGGTAATGTCATCATGTTGAGTCTGGTCAATATAGACATGAAATCTTATTTATTTAAATAGACATACTTGATTTGTTTTAAAAGGTTTTTTTTTTATCTCTTGTGACATAATCTTTTTTACTAAATAAATTGATAAGAAAACACATAAAAAAACGTGGGAATTGTTCTTTCCATCCTAAGGCTCCAATGTTTTAGTGGGGAAAAAAATCAAAACTACCTATAAAATTCAAAATTCACTTTCAAGTGCACCCTAAATACACAAAATTCATGCGTTTTTTCATGCCTTTATTATTTATTAAAAAATAATTTAAAACTATACTTCCGAAATAAATTCGAAAATATACATCAGTAGAATTTGTTCTTGTTTATTTTTTGTTTTCATAATACTTTGAAGTTTGAAGTTGCATAATTCCTAACAAAATTTAACAAAACCAAATGATCATCAACATGCGTCACTCTAGAACAAATCGTTCAAAAACTTGATCAAAACAAACAACAAACACAAATCAATTTCAATACCAACAATTTTTTTTAATAAAGCCAAATGTTCTTGAACACTTCACTTAAACTTGAATCATTTACAAAATGAGAGTGTAATTCGATTACAAATAAATGTGATGTGATATATACTTCATATATTCCAAATTATAAGTCACATCGTCAAAAAAAAAAATGTCTTAAATTGTAAATCACTTTACATTTCCAATGCAACATTAATGACATTTTTCTCAATATACCTTATTATCAATTCTTTAAATTTTTTCCTATTTTTATAAGTAAGAATAATGCTAACTTTTTCCCTTGAGACACATGTTAAAAGACCTACAAATGAAAAATTTGTATTGAAAAAAAATAATTAATTCTAAATTTGTATTAAATTTAACACACAATTTCCAATGACTTTTTACTATATTTATCTCTTATAGCATTACCCAATAAATAAATGATAATATTATAAAGTCATGCATAATTTCTCTTTCCCGTACAACATTGATTATTTTTCTTAATTGCGTGAAGTATTCGAAACATCTTATAAGATAGTACGTTCAAAATACATTTATGAAATTAAGTTACATTTTTGAATTTCTCTAAGATGATTTTAGTATCTGATAATTGGCTCGGCTATTCCCACCCTTAAATGTTCGTCTCACCTCCCTAATTGAAAATTGAATGTTTCCCAACACTCGCATCAATTAAGTCATTTTTCCCGAGGATTTCTTAATGCACCCTTAATAATTCTTAGTCACCACACGAAATTATTTAAATGCCATTAGTTTTCGGATATGCATCTCCGGATGCACCAAAATTTGAATGAACATTGAAATATTTCGGAGATGCATCTCCGTAACATTTTAAAATATTCAATACATCCCACTCATAAGTCATTATACATTTGAATTGGATCGAATATACATTTCTGTAACATATAAGAACTTGGCCTTTCATGTTATATTTTGTTTGTCTGTATTCAGCTAAAGATTTAAACTATACCATATAATCGAAAATAAAAAAATCTAGATACATAATTCCGGATGATCCAAAAATGTCATACATAAAAAATCTCAGGTACAACAATGTACCATGTGCCTCCGTCGTAATGGCATTTAGGACCAGCCTCACATCAAATCCATCAGGGAAGATATCTCTGTCAACGCATGCCCACACAATCTCCACTACGTGACGAAACTTAGGCAAGACATCTTCGGCATAATCTAGTTGTGCACACTTCTCCTATAGTATCTCCTGATGAGTTGGTCTCGGCGAATCTCCTAGAGAAGCATGCCCATGTGTGGATGTGACACTTTAAAGAACCATTTGATGCACCATTCGACGTAGCTCTTATCGTGCTCAACTATAGTGGCTCGTTCCTCCTCAGGTATCAGATGACTCTCATAATAATTAAACATGTCATATATCTGTCTACTTGTCAAGGAAGGAGGAACAGAGACAATATGGTGCTTGAGAATGGTCTGATTGTAGCCGAACTTCCACATGACGCACTCAGGAAAATGAGGAGTAATGAGACGTGATCCTCATGCCAACCATCCAGAGTATAATACTATCTTGTCGAATGTCCACGTCTCACGGTGATCACTATAGCTGTTGAAGTGCGTGTCCTCAGCAACCAAATAGTCAAGATAGATTCTGTAAGACTTAGTCGTCTGGTTACCTCTAAGCGGGATAAAAGCATTAGAACGGGGCATATCCTCAATGTAAGTTGGTACAGTAGCTTGAAATGAAAAGTTTGGAACACACGAATCATGAGTAATGGCTTTGCAAAGCTAAAATTAAAATGACAAAAAAACATTCAAAAACCAATAATTATTACCGCGAGTAGTATCACGCTGCTTGTGACCTGCTTTGTTTTCCTCATACAACCATCTCTCAACTTTAAATACATGTAAACCAAACAAGCCGCCCTCCAATTGTATTCATGGACCCGCTCGAAATCCATGAAGTATCGTAGGTAGACAACATCTGTATAAATGACATTCTTGTCCACAAAAATCGCAGTGTCAACCAAATAAAGCAGGTATGCTCTTAATGCATGCAATTTGTGGCGCCACTTGCTCATCATCACCATTAACCTGTTGTGCACTCAGGAAATCATTCTCATATACCTTCTTCAAGTATTCAAATCTAGCATGAGCATCCATGGTCTTATCCAACCAGGCCACCTCCAAATGCCTCTGGCTCAGTATCTGCAACAGCCCCACCCTATAAAGGTGGCACTGGATCAGAAACATCAGTAATAGGAAGTGAGACTGAGTCAACATCATCTACACCAGAAGGTGGCACTGGTGAACCTGATGTCTATGGTAGGATGGAGGGAGTGATGCATCAGATGGTGAATCTCGTCTCCTATGAAAAGAAGAAGATGAAGTGACACGAGGAGAAGCACGAGTCTCAGAAGTAGATGACTCTGCCTGACTAGAGGGACCAAGAGCCTTCAGAATCTACTGACTCTTCTCCCTTCGCACTAATGCGTGTCGAGAAACCCTTTCGTGTCTCAGTCTATCTTGTCTATCTGTCATTATGCCTGTAAGTTAAAGTAAAGCTTACAATTTATGCAGACAAACAACATACAAGCAAAAAAAAATACTACAAAAAATTTCGGAGATGCATCTCCAGAATCTTGGAAACTAAAATATTGAGAAATTTCGGAGATGCACCTCCGAAATTTCCTGCAACTCAAAAATTGCGTTAATGGTGTAAATGTGCCCCATGCAATCTAAAAAAACTTGTCTTGATCATCATTTTCAGCCAACAAATAACTAATTCAGTATATTTAAACTATCTTAAATGCTATTTTTATTATTTTCTAACTCTAATAATTGATTTCTACTCATCTAAACAAAAATTCAAAAATTTATCAAAAAATCAAAATGCTTACAAAAAATTGATGTTACAAATGTTGTTTCTGATGTTAAAGATGATGATTGAAGTTCCGTTAAACTTTGATGATTGAGTTTTAAGTTGGTGCAGAGAAAATTTTAAAAGTTTAAAAAGTAATTTTGAAAAAAAATAAAAAATAAAAAAGAGAAAGATCTGACGCGACAAACTATTTCAAAAATGCATCTCAAAAATATTCTAATGATGATTAACTTTTCAGTACATTCAAAATACATCATTCAAAATATAAGAAATCCTCTTTCTTTTTCTTTTTTTTCTTAGTTAATTTAGATCCGCAACATATTTGATTTGTTTTTTTTTTTTTTCATACTAATCTTTGCCCAAATCTTATAACCGAAATGAACAAAGAACCTTAGAGAAATAGGTTACTCTTTAACAATGGCAGAAGCACCAGCATCCCAATCTATTCTACCAAATTCAATGGCAGCACCAAAAGATTCATCTTCATATTTACCAGACGAATTATGGGAATACATCTTCAAATTCCTCAACGGCGACCACCACCGCACTCTCCAGCCTCTCACCACCGTCTCCAAACAGTTCCTCTCCATCACAAACCGTCTCCGACTCTCCCTCACAATCACATATCCCACCTTACTTTTCATTCCAAACCTCTTCCACCGCTTCCCTAACCTCACATCCATCGACCTCACTCTCCTACCCCAAACCCTAAACATCGACGCTCTTCTCATCCAAATCGCCACATTCCCCTACGACCTACGATCCTTATCCTGCAACAACATGCCGGTGAATGGATTACTAGCTTTATCCAAAACAATGAAGAATTTGACCTATTTCTCATGTTCTAGAATGCCTTTTATCAACAAGAATCATCTTCTTTTCATTGCTTATTGTTTCCCTTCACTCGAAGAACTCAATCTCACTTATCCCTCTGTTTCTAGGGTTTCTGATTTTGTGCTGGAGGATAATCAATCGGTAAGATTTCCGAAACTCCGCAAGATTAATTTGTCTGGTAATAATATCAATGACAAGTTTTATGATCATATGTGGGAGTGTTGTGAGCTTCTTGAAGAGTTCGCTATGAGTAATTGGAATGCGAAGAAGTTGCCAAGAGTATATACTGCCTAGAGTTTCATATTTCATTGTTAGTGGCTTGAACACGATGAGAGTTTGATTATCAGTGTTTCTTTTGATGTTTCACTTTTTATCTTCTAATGGTGATTTGTTCATGACAATATATGTATTGATTTATCTTCTAACTTTGAGTTTTTTATTTTATTTTTATTTACTACAATGTTTATATCATAGTTTTAAATTGCGGTCTGCTGGTGTTGCCATTGCTACCATTGGTGGTGTTGCGATGCCCATTGTCACCGTGAATTTTGATTGGGAGATGATTGAAATACACTATTGAAAATTCAATAGTGCATTGTCACCGTGAATTTTTTTTCGATACTAATCTTTGCCCAAATCTTATAACCGAAATGAACAAAGAACTTTAGAGAAATAGGTTACTCTTTAACAATGGCAGAAGCACCAGCATCCCAATCTATTCTACCAAATTCAATGGCAGCACCAAAAGATTCATCTTCATATTTACCAGACGAATTATGGGAATACATCTTCAAATTCCTCAACATTCAATTGAGTTTTTGGGTTCTCAAAATTGAATGTTGATGGAAATACTTGGAGAGACATGGGTGGAGTTGTTTGATGCGGTTCTTAATGCGACTTAACATGTGATTTTATTTTAAATCATACTGCAATTGCGGTCTGATGCGGTTGCAGAGACGACCTTATCAGCAATATTACAGTTGCAAACATCAATTTAAAACTATGGTTTATATGACTCCATGTGAACTGAAGTTGTTATTTGAATCATAAGCCTACCGTGAGTTTTCTTGTAGATAATATATTCTTGTTATGTATGATCTATTGCAACAACGGAGCATTGAAACTATTTTTGGGACAAGATTTTTTGACACTATATATGAACTAGTTGATTATTTCTTCCACTGAATTCTCAGCTTTTTACTTTTCAGTATTATTTGTTATGATTTCTGCATCAATATTCAGTAAGTTTGAAGAGCATACTCCCTTTTATTATAGCTAGACATTAGCATAATCCCTTTTATTATGCATTTAGTTTGAAGAGCATATAACAAATAAGATTGCTGCAGAATATTTAAATGGATGCAAATTGGATGTATATTTTAATTGAACTTCACTGAATGCTCTTATGAGAATGAGTTTATTTTGGTCAAATGAGTCTTATAATTTTTATCAGTTGAATATGTACCTGTTCTGATGTGGAGGGATGGAAATTTGGAAGAGTTAGTTGGAGGTGGGAGTGATGCTGGTTTTTGGTTGGATCCATGGGTTGAAGAGCTACGTTCGGCTTGAGTGTATTGGAAGCAAGCGTCTTTGATTATTTTTACTCATTCTCATGTTTTGCTGCTAGTGTGAGCCTACTGTTGTAGTGCCGTGGCAGATTGTTAAGGGTGCTATGTCTTAAGTTTTTGGAAGTTTTGTGTAGGTTAGTCATGATTTAGCTGTAGCAAAACAAATAGAAGTTCTATTTTTTTATTAGTTTAACAGTGACAAATATTTTGTGAGACCATTTTTAGTCACGGTTTAACCCTATTAAAATTTGGGTCGTGTGTGGTATTCTGCCTCCTCAAAGACGGCCCTGGTACCGGGTTGTGTTTGAGTATATCCATTGTATTGGATTGGTTTGTGTATTTGCTGTAGTTTAGGAGTAATAGGGGAAGGAAATGCATATCACAGAACATTCTTTGTTTCCAATACACTCAAGTGATAGTTTAAGGAGTCCTCAAAGAAATTCAAACCAAAAATAGAACTACATTCTTTTATGGTTTTTAGCACATTCTTTGTTCTCATAATATTGTTATAGATTAAAAACAGAACATTTGTGTCTATTGCTGCATTACCACATAAGTTGTGTCTTTGATTATTTTTTTTTTACTCGTTTTCATGTTTGCTGCAAATGTATATTCATTCTTATGTTTTGCTGCTAGTGTAGATGGTTCATGTATCAGTTTGGTCAAATCTGTGAGCCTAATGTAACAAGTCCCATATATGAAATTTCTTGATTTTGGGATCCTCTTATCCATTGTTAGAGCTGCTGTAGAAAGAAATTTCATTTATGCTTAAAATATACTGGTAGAATCGTATCCAATTGGCAGGTAATGTAGCATTTTTCTGAAATTCACACGTTCTCTTATATGCAGCAATGTTTGCTCACAGAGAATGATATAGCCAGAAAGACTCTATGTCTCTAATTTACGGCGGCGTTTAAGGTGGGAAAGCACAAAAATTTCCCACGATAGTGCACTGTAATAATCACCTTCAGGTGGGATTTTTTATAATTATTCTTTTTATAAAAAGATATTTTATTAGTATTTTTTTTAATTCTGAATTCACCTCCACATTACTCAAAATAAAATGTTCCTCACCTCATCTTCTACAGCTTGAAAATCTCATCCTCATCTTCGACTAAATCGCCATTTTTGCAAATGTTCAGAAATCACAAACGGTGGTGACTTAATTGTCTACCACTATGAATTCATCAAATGCAAGGATAAATCAAAATCTTTCTTAATTTTATAAAAAAAAAGTTTGATAGTTTGGTACAATATTGGTTGTTAATCTATTATCAACCCATCAAAGCATTACATTTATTTTTTATTTTGCCCTCTCAATATTTAAAAATATACATTACCAAAAAGATAGATCGGTAATTAACTATTAATCTCATTTTAATTCAAGCTATCCTCTATGTCCTTGCCATTTTTGTCAACCATCCATTCGTTTGCATAGAAATAGTACATTCTAGTCTTTCCACCAAAACCAAATAACATATTATCAGGCTTTGCAAGCTCATTTCTCCTTCTCATTCACTTCACAACATATTTCTCTCTCTCATTTCTCCTTCTAACTCTATCTGAAGCTTGTTGTCTCGAAAACACCATTTTCGATCTTCTCTCCAGGAATCAAGTTCGTCCTTCAACCAGTTAAGCTTAGCTTTCACACATTGCAAAGTGATTTATTCTGTTTGGAAAAGTTTGAACGACTGTTTCCTGTTTTTCTGCTTCTATTCAGTGTTTTTGTTACGAAAAATTCATTTTCATTTTCATTTTCATTTATACTCGTATGTTTTTGATAGTAGAATCTGTTCGAAATGAATCCGTTTTATATTTTCATTCATACATAAATATTATGAAGTTTCGATGTAGATCTAAATCATTTCATCTTTGTTCTTTCTAACTCCACTCTCTCCACAACAACGACAATATTACCAACCATTTTATCTATGGATTTAACATCTTTAGGCACTCAATATTTGGTGGTTTTGTACAATGTTGATTTTTTACTTGGAATCATAACTTCTTTTGTCGGTACCGAAGGTGGTAGAAGAAATATATGTTTTCTCCATTCAAAATCCTAACTTAATCCTTAGATTTATTCTTTTTATTTGTGGCGTTATGATTTCAATTTTGTTTATTTTTTCTTATTTGGGGTGTTTTTTTTTGGTTATGGAGTTTGATTTCAGAAAAAATAGGCAAAAAGCACGTGAACAACAAATGTTGATTTGGTGAAATGAAATGCATTAACTCTTTCCAATCCAAAAATCTTGTTGACAACTACACTGGTCTTTAAGGGTTTTTGGTTTTCAATGCTGTGGGTGGAGGAATCGGTTTTGAGTTTGGTTCTCTTTTCTTGGTTCATATTTTTCTCTTTGAATAGTTGTCTTAGCTATATCATGTTGATTTGTGAATGTTGATAGGTCTTTTACTAAGTGTATGTTTCTTACTGATTATAAAAGACTGTTTGATTCTTAATAATTTATAGGTTTAATTTTTTGTTGTTGTTTTTTTATGTTTGTTGATCAAACCAAAAAAGTCACATATATTTATGAAAATATACTATAGAATTCATTGAGTCATTTGTAAATACAGATTTGTAACATGAATTCTAAGTTGTTGATCCAAACATGCCTTTATATTATTTATCAAATTTGATATTAATTCATTGAGACCTTTCTAAATGTAGTGCTGCAAACCAAGCATACATGAGCAGGGCTCTATAGCATCAATTGTTTCTTTTTTTTCAAAGTTGAAGGCATAATCAACGGCTAAATATGCCTCAAGAAGGTAAAGAAACAATTCAAATGAAAACTTTTCAGTATCAACTAATGATGGACTAAAAATCAGAGTGCAATCAGGAGGTTGTGCAGCTTGTGAATAATGTTATGTTAAAGAGAAACATGATGTAGAAAAGGAGCTTGAGATGTATAGAAATATTTTATGAATATGAAGTAAGAGGAAAGATGATGCTGTCAAGAAAAAGACAGTTTCTTAAGATGCATTAATATGTCACATTTATATATTCATTAATATAATAAATTCAATAGTATCAAGAAAAAAAGAAGGAAATCAGAGTTTGAAAATTTTCATAAAAGAAAACGACATTATTCTCACATCATAATCATTATCAATATGTAAAAATAACCACCTACACAATATAACTAAGTATCATATATTTTTTTGGATATTTTAAAAATAATCAATTATTTTATGATGTATTGATAAAAAAAATTACATATATATAGTTCAAGTTTGTATTTCTGAGGAGTTGAATGACGGTATAGTAAATGACTTGATAATTGATAAAATATATAGTGATATTCAATGGTTTGTAACAACTCAAATTTTCTACAAAATCTTTTTTTTTATATTTATACAGTAGGTAATCACAGAGACACATTGACAGTATACACAATTAACACAATTAACACAATTCAAAGATTCAATAATAATGGAAAGAAAGACAAAATTGCATGTGAAAGAGAATTTAGATGAAATTAACGATTCATGAGAGAGAGAAAAATAACTTGCAAGTGAAAGAAAGATAATTGTTTAGGAAGTTAAAGATAAGAATGATAAAACATTGTTAAAGTTTTAAATTGAGAATGAAACAATTATTATTTACTAAATTTATTTTGTATATGTGGTTGATTTTAAAATAACAGTTAAAGATCAAATATCTAACAAATATAGGTTAGTCCAAAATATTATATTGTCTTTATTTATAGGTATAGATAAGTATAGATTAATGTTTACATCACATTGTAGAAATTATACAATTTAAAAATTGAAATATTGTTTATATTTTAAAATTTTTGCAAATTACACCGGTAAAATTGGAACAATAATAGATAAAGATTCAAGAGAGGAAACCAAAATTTAAAAAATTTAATAAAAATAGTCATTGTTATTTGATCTAGAAATTAGAACACACTTTTTTTTTTCCTTTCGTAAGAGATAATGATTTATTTTTCTTTTACAATAGAGAGCAAAAATTAAAGTATTAGACATTAAAAAAATCCAATAATCTCAATTTTCAAATCCCAATTTCACATTTGGATTTGTTTATGTAAAAAGAACAAAATAGTAAATGAAAATAAAAAAAAAATCAAATCAAAAAATTAGATTGAAGAATCTAAATGCCCTAATAATTAACTCTAACAAAAATTGATGCACAATCTATTTTATGACATCTGTTAATAACATGAAAACAATAATATTAATATTAATGTGTATCATCAATCTATTTAATATTAACTAGTTCATATAGTATTAAATTGTGTAAATATTTATAGGTTAAAATGATTAATTTTTATCAAAAAGAAAAACTTAAATGACTGATTTGTTAAACATGTATTACTTAAATGACCAAATTATTCAACTATTTTGAAATACTTTTGCTTTAAGTTTTTTAATTAATTAATTAGTTAATTTTAAAATAATTAATTAATATTATTATTATTATTATTATTATTATTAATATGACTAAAAAAAATACTATACTTTATTTTATTAATAAATAAAAAATACTTCAAAATAAAATTGATGAAAATGATATAAAGTTTAGTTTCATCAGTTTTACACTGAGTGACACGCCATGGCCACGCAACAATCCATGTCTCAGTCCCAAAGTCCCATTTTCTCACTATTTTCTTCTTCTTCTTGAAAGAAAGTTCTTTTGACCTTTGACTCATCCATATATATATATATATATATATATATATATATATATATATATATATATATATATATATATATATATTAAACTTTACAGTGAAATAGAAAAATAATCTTTAAAAATATTAGATTAATTTGTTTCTAAAAGAAAAAATAATAAAGTAATTTTTTAACATTCATCCTCTTGTTGTCGTTCTAGAATTTGTCCTACTTTCCCAACATTAATTTCTAAGAAACTTCCTTTAAACCAACCAAGAAATATTCAAATGTAGTTTGCTCACACCTTTCCTTATTCCATCCCAACAACTAACTTACCCATAATTCAATATTATTATTTTTATCAATAATATTTCTTTATATATTTTATTAACATAATTATAAAAATTTAAAATTTTATCCTAATAACAGAAATTCCGATTTTCTTTTTAAAAAAAACTAATTTCACGCTTCATCTGCAACTGATTAATTTTATTATTCTACATTGTTAATAAAATAACTCTGCACATGGTTATCCATTAATATTATTTTTTTCTCTTTAAAAGATTTTATTTTATTTTTTTATTACTAAAATTTCCTTTTCCAACAACGAGTGTAATGTGTGAAGCTTCATGAAAAGCACTTTTTCATTTTCTCTTTCTATTCAATATTTATAAGAGCCCTGTTTCATCATCTCAACCGTCAACAACACAAGTCCTCTGTTTCTCCACTACTTCTCACAACAAACACAAGACAACAACGTTGTTGTTTATGTTTCTTCTTCCTCTGTTTTCTTTACTCTGTTGTTCCAAACAACAACGATATGTCTTCGATTTCACAACGTCTTGTTTTAACAACAGCCATGGTTCTTTCGACCACCGTTCTTTACCTTACTTTCTGTAAGCAAAAACCATCATTTCAAATTCATGAAAATTCAAACTCTAAGGATAAACTGATTCTACGATCTTGCTTATGCACAGGTAATTTATAATTCAATTCATTCATAAAAATTTCAAATGAAATTATTTGATATAAATTATAAAATTCTTACTTTGTTCTATTTTTTTTATAGAGGAAAAGAAGAGGGAAAAAAGAAGGAAGAAGAAAAAGGTTAAATTTTCGGAAAATGTGATGGTGAAGGAAGAAGAAAGTGAAAGTAATGAGGAAATTATAGAAAAACAGGGGAAGAAGAAAAACAGAGTATCGACAAATAAATGCAGAAATGAAATTCGTGAAGAACGTGGAATGCCAGCGAATAGAATTGCTTTGTATAATGGAATATTAAGAGATCGTGTTCATAGAATGGGGTCTTGTCACTGATGATTATCATCATCATCATCCCTTTTACAAATTAGAAGTTAGAAAAACAGGGGAGAGTAGAATTGCTCTGTTTTTTTTTTTTTTTTAAATTTATTTTAGGAGGGTGTGTTGGAAACAATATTTGAAGTTCAAATTGATCGAAAAATGGTAGGGAGTTATGAAGAGGTCAGTCTTGTGAAAAGGGGAAGAAGTTGGAAAAAAAAAATCTAATGTATTTTTGTGGTTGTAAATAGTTGCTTGACTTTGTCCAACTCATAGCAATTTCATGAGTGAAATTAATGTATACCTAAAACAATAATTGAATAGTTTGAATTTTATAATATATACGAGGTAATATTTGTTTTAAAAACCAGACCGGTATTCAAATCGGTAAAGATACTGAATCGCTGGTTTATTCGTCGAATTATTGATTGAACTGCATGATTAAATCGAATTAAATTGGATAACTCAGTTAAATAAATCGGTCTCTATAAAAAAATTATATATTTAATAAATTAGTCGAATCGGATGACTCGATCTCTAAAAAATATCACGACACTTACAAAATTTCAAAATTTCACAAGTTCATTTTTTAAATTCAAATTCTTGGCGTAGACATCCCGCATGACAAAATAGTATAAAATCCAAATCCAAATAAATTTTGAACAATATCTGATTATAAACGAAAAAAAATTGTTCCAAATAAATTTTGAACAAAGTATAATTTTATTTTAATTTTATTAAAAAAATAAATTATCAAAACCGTATCGTTATTATGAAGAAAAAAAACATGCATTTAAACTGTTGGTTCATCGGATTCACCGGATTTTGGCTGATTTTGTCTGATTTTCATTGGTTCAATAGCATATTCGATCCAATAATCAGACCATACCAATGATTCTTCCGTTCCCAATTTGACCAGACCGACCGACCAATTCGATCTAATTTTTAAAACACTGATTAATATTACATTCACATTTTTCAATATTATTTTAGAAAAATTATTTATATATAAATATTACACTTCTGCATACTATTATAAATAAATTTGATTTTTTTACCTTTGACAATTAATATATCTAATCCATATTAAGATTAGATAACTAATTTTTAAATGTATTTAAAAAAATAAATCAAATTTGCTTATAATAAATATTGAAGTGTGCATTTTTAAATCATTAATCAATTATAAGGGGAGGGAGTGGATTAAGGAGTGTTTGAATACAACATCAACTTCAAAATTGATTAATGTTATTTGAGTTATTTAAGTTTCAAATTATTGAATTTATCACTTGTAAATTAAGTTATTAATAGTATTTTAATGATATTTAGTTTGTTATGTAATGTGGTTGAGCTTGCTAGGTGCTCTATTTTATGGATTTCATCTTTTTCTTTGTTTGAAATAGTAGTTTCGGTGAAGTTTGGTATCACAATATTGCATGTATCTTTCGTTGTTGTTATTGTTATTGTTATTGTTATTTTTGTTGTTGTTATTGTTATTGTGATAGTTATTTTCATGGTTTTTGAGACTTAGAGTATAATGTAGTGTTATTTTTCAGGTATGTGTAGTTGTTGTGGTTTACTGCTATTGTTATTGTCGTGATTTTTGAGGCTTTGGGTATAAGGTAGTATTGTTTTTTCAGGTACTTATAATAGTTGTTGTTTATTGTTATTGTTGTATTATTTTGGAATATTCATTTTTATTTTACCTTCAAAAGTTGTATATTATTATGAACCATAGTTGGATGAGAGCCAATAGATTAAGTAAAGAGTATGAGAATGTAGTGATTCAATTTCTTGAATTTGCTGAAAAAAACCATCCTAACGATAATGATATTTTTGGATGTCCTTGTAAAATTTGCTGAAATACACAAAAACCATCTAAAGGATGATATATTCAATCATTGTGGTTGTGATGGAATTATTCAAAATTACACAAAATGGGTATGACATGGTGAAGTGACATAAAAAAACCCTAAATTTATGAATATATGAATGATACTCTAGTGTTGAAGATGATGAATTTATGAATGATACTCTAGTGTCATACCCTAAATTTTATCCTAAGTTTTTCATTCGCATTCACATAGTGTGTAATATTCCATATTCCCTTAAATGCTCAACTGGGTGATAGTTGAGATCAACTGGATTCCTATGTACTCGATTTTGTTAGTTAGAACAATTGGAACTCATAAGTGCTCTAAATGTTATCAGTTAAGACCAATAGAGTAAACAGTGAACTCTAAAGAGATTAATTAATATTAAAGAAAAAGACCAATATTAATAAATGCAAGAGAGGATATTTTGGTAACTCTAATTATTGATCAATTGGTGTTAAATGAAAAAAATATCAAATGGAGATATTTTGTATCATTATATTATATTATATATATTTATGAATAAGAAGAGAAAGAAAGATAGTAAGAGAGAAAGAAGAAAAGAAAAGAAAGAAGGAAAAGAGAAGAAGAGGGGAAGAGAGAAAGAGGAAGAGTGAGCTTGAATTCATCATCTTCATCAATTTCTTCTTCATCTCCATCATTAATTCATCCCATTTTCTTCATCAAGGTGATTTCTATTAGGTAGTATAACTTTTAAAGGGAAAATATGAGATTATTGGTGGGTTAGATTTTGTGTGGAAATTGAATTAAATATTGTGTTCATGAGGATTTGATAAATTGCATGCCTATATGATGTTATACCATGTTAATTAAGTGTTTGGATGTTGTTTTCAACATGTGGGTGTGAGAAATTGGCCATGGTTGTTTCATTTTCACGTTCTGTATAATCTGGAATTCGCTCACGTCGCTAGGCGAGCTCAAGGCGATCTATTTTATAATAGTGTCGTCGAGCGAGCATTAGCGAACAAAAGGCGACGTGTTTTTCTGCTACAGTCGCTAGGCGAGGCTTAGCGAATGGAAAGAGAACTGCTCGCTGGTTGGTCACCGAGCGACCATGCTGCAAGTTTGGTTCTGCCTGGGCTTCGCCTGAGGTTCGTTGGGCGAACCAGAAGCAAGGCAACCTCGCTGGTTGCTTGCTGAGCGACCATGACAGGGTGCAGTTTTCCCGTTTCTTATTTTCTTCATAACTTACAAACTGTAACTCAGATTGATATAATAGTATTGAATTGAAGTGATTATGGAATAATATGTAACAGGTAAAGATGAACACCGTTTGAATTGGTTTGGTATTTGGCGAGGGACCTTTGTCCTAAAAATCCTATTTTGATGATGGGCTTAACTCCGAAAATCCTATCTATTATGAGATCATGAATTACCTGAGGATGTTAGTAGAAGATAGTGATGATCATATGTTTTATGTTTATGTTTGACTTGTTATGCTATGTTATTATGTAGGATATATGTGTATATGATTGAATGTTTGATTGTGAAAGAACATGCCTAAAACACTATGAAGATGAGTGAGGAATCCTAGGCTTATAACTAGGTAAATGGATTAAAAAAATAAATAGGTTGCAAGTGTGATTTAGATAACACTAGAATGTGACATTCATGCAAAATGATACCTAGGTGTGTGTCATGGATGAATGGTTACCATAGCTGTGAGTGAGATGCATTGTATGGAACATGTGTTGTTATTGTGTGGTTAAGATGAATATGATCACCTTGTGATTATCGAATACGATCATGCTATATTGTATTTTATCACGTAATCGGAAATAACTCCCTAAAGATGTCGTCCTAAGAGTGATGCTTATGTAGAGCTCCTTTGGGATATACGTACCAGTACTTTGACAGGTTTGAGTCCACATAAGCGAATGGAGTCTACTGGTAAAAGGCTTGAGATGGGTTAAAATTCCCATGGGAATCGACGATTCTTAAGGTTGAGGAGTTCCTTAGAATCTGAATCTATTCGTATGTCAAAGTACGATACAAGGATCTGTGACCCGTGCCGAAATTCCTAGACGTGGGAGAGGACGGGGAAGGATTTCTTGGTATGTTATCCGAGCTAGTGACTATTTGAGTTGATGAACTCAGGAGACATGTTTCCATACATTGTGAGTTTTGTGAGCTCAAGTATTATCCCTTTTCCCATCGACTTGGGTTAGAATTAGATTAGAACCCTGTAGAACCGAGTGAACCTATAAGATAGGGGAACTCACTGAGATTATTATCTCACCCCATTGTTGTTGTTATTTTTTCAGGTATTGTTTGCAGGTTTAATTTATAAGTGGAGACTATGCATGGATGTTTTGAGGGAAGCATAAATTATGTTTTTCGTTGTGTATATTGTACAATGACGAATATTGTACTTGGATCTTAGGTTTTTATTGTTTTTGCATTTTCCATATTTTGTATCATAAGTTGTTTTTATCGCTTGAGAAATGGTAAAGTGTGTAAATGATGCCAATAGGCACTTATGATTATGTCAATATCAAATAATAACACTTGTCTGATATTATTCTAAATATGTCGGATATTATTCTAAATATATATATTATATGGAGCGTTACATAGTGCAAGTATGTAAATGATTTCAATAGGCACTTATGATTATGTCAATACTAAATAATAACACTTGTATGATATTATTCTAAATATATATATATATTATATGGGGCGTTACATAGTGCAAATCGTTCATTTTGTTATACATTCTTTCAGTCAAAAACATTCATCAAAGCTTAGATGAAAAGTCGTGAGTTCTGTCATTTTATTTAGTTTTGATGATATTCATTCATATTTTTATTGCAATTCATATCTACTGTTTTATATTGTTTGCAAAGAGGGTGTTTCTTATTTTTCTTCTTTTAATAAATTTTGAATATATATTTTTATTTAAAAAGTAATAATCAAGTTAGCATTTTATATCTTAAAGTATTAAATAAATAAAATATTTAGATTATCATTTGAAATTAAGTTAAAGGATAGAATAATTTTTTTATTAAGTTAGAAGAAATTCTTATCATCTCAATGAAGTGCTCTTATATTTGTTTGCCAAAATAAAATTGATCGTTTAATCCACCCTTAAAATGTAATTTTTTTATACTTTATGAGCCCAAC